GCATGTCCCAGTGCCCGAGCCACCCTCTGGGTGCAGACCCTTTCCCTAGCACCCAGCCTGACCCTCCCCTGTCCCAGCTCCATGCCGTTCCCTCAGGTCCTGTCGCTGTCCCCAGAGAGCAGAGCTCAGCGCCTGCCCCTCCGCTCCCCTCGTGAGGGAGCTGCAGGCCGCCATGAGGCCTCCCCTCAGGCCTGCTCTGCTCGAGGCTGAGCAATCCAAGTCACTTCAGCTGCTCCTCACATTTCTCCATGCTCCACACACTTCCCCTTTAGACCCTTTACCATTTTAGTTGCCCTCCTTTGGACACTCTAAAAGTGATGCTTCATGTTACAAACATGTAGTCAGAGCTTGCCACATCGTACAGTTGTTGTTTGAACCCTGCTGACCCATAATCAGGAGGAACATTTAGGTATAGCTCTGTGTGCAGAGGGAGAAATCCTGACTACCACCACAGATGATGTAGGATGATGTGACATAGTATTTAATTTCTGTCCACTTCCACATAGACAACTCCTGCAGGAAAGCCCTGTTGCCTGCCCAGTCTTGAAGAAATTCCCCCCTGAATCTTTGGGAAGGCTGGCACTCTTGTGGTGTTTTGTTTTTTTTCTCAGTTTCATGTGGTGTCCAGTCCTACAGGAGTGTACAAGAGCCCAGCTCTGTCTCCCATGCTGGTGTGCCAGGTTTGGGTGTATGGACTTCACTGTCCTTGGCCAAAGATGAAAGATGGCCCTGTTGCATCTCAGTCTGTAAGACATGTGGACGGGGATAGTGTAACTGTCAGCTTTTTTTTTTTTAATAAAGCCTCTTACTTGATCTCCCACATAGTTGAGAGAGATTTTCCACACATGCCCCAGTGTGATGAGTTCATTGTTCACCAACAATGAAGGCCTGATTATAATGAAGATGTGGCACTTGATACTTAGAGTGGGGCAGCGAGCGTGCTTGTTTCCGCACATCCTAGTGCAATTTAGCCTTGCTTGATACCGTAACTGTTTGGTATCTGCTGGAAAACATGGCCTGCATGACTAATGCTCATTGCAGTGGGAATGCTGAAGGGGAAATGAGACAAAGATGTGGATGGGAGACAACTTGATCCCAAACAGACAGTTGATGAGAAAGGACCAAGCAACAAATCTTCCTGAGAGCCTTGGCCCTGGCTGTGCTTGTAAGAAGAGCTCCAAAAACTTGCGTGCAGTCTCCTTGGTAGTAAAGTTCCTCTGCTCTTTCAACTTTCCTGTTGTCCAGCTCTATGACAAGGATGTTAAATCCAAAATATGTGAAAAGGAACGACCACTTGGCCATACAGTGACTAGTTTTCTTTTCACATGGGCTGCTTTTATTTCAGCCTCTTTAGGGCTGTTCTAAGTCATTTTGATTATTGGGCAAATTTGCAGCAGAGATTGCTTGTGCTGCTGTAGATCTCATCCATCTTTGGTTGCCTTGTCTGTGTTGCAGCTGTTGGGACCAAAAGGAGAGGGATTGTGGTGTTACAGCCACACTGACCTGCAGGTTGTTGGGGGAGCAGCTGACACAGTGGGAATGGTACTCTATAAAGGATCTGTACAGAGTAGCACAGAGCCCCTAATTTCACTTATATCATCTTCTCTGATGGGACAAGGGTCCAGGAACAGTGAGGTCTACCTGGTAGAGGGGAAGATCCACCTCACTTTTGAGGACCCTAAAGGCATGTTCTGTACAGCAGCTGGAAAAGGAGAGAAGGATGGTCTCCATGGTTGGGTACTCCATTTGGAAAGAGGGCTGTCTCCTCAAAGATGAGCTTCTGTGCAGCAGGCAGGGGCAACACCATCCCAAAAAATCAAAACAGAGTGGCTCTGTGTTGGAAGATGACCCAAACACTCACCACTCTGCCTGCCCTACAGCCTGTTGGGCTACCTGCAGCACAAAGATCATCTTTCCACTCTCCTCATGACCTTGAGGCAGTGAAAATGCTTCCTATGGGCACATAGATATGAAGAGTATGTTGGCGAAGTGAGGCCAAAAAGTTGAACTACAGGATAGTGTCAGATAAGGGTCACTTTGTAATTTGCTGAGGCTAAGCTTGTGATGCTGGAGTGCATGCTACTGAAATCTTCCTGCGTGCATTTTGGCAAAGAGTTTCAACTTTCTTACTGAAGGGACTAGTAGGATGCTATTTTTCTTCCCTTTCCTTACTGTATTTCTTATTTTATCTTATTTTTTTTCTTTTTTTTTTTTTTTTTTTTTCCTTTTTCCTTTAAAAAGCAACAAAAACAAAGGAACAAAATTTTCAAAGCAATTCAGTCTGGCAGTCCCAAGATAACTGTTAAACTCACCTTGGAAAGATCCACTGGGTTTAAAAGAAACATTTGGCATCTTCTTGCTGCTTTTCTTAAGGAAAGTCTGCCCTTTTTGGTTTGTTAAGCACCTAAAATGGCTGGATGAAATTACAACGCTTTCTTTTAATGATCCCAATAGAGGTTGATGCTGCATTTCCAAGGCATATACTGCCCATCTTGTAATTGGTAGCAGACAATTGACAAGCGAGTGTCTCATTTGGGGAAAATTGCAAATTAGAACAGTTACGATGCTGCAAATTAGAGAGATGTAGCATATAGCCCATTATCCCCAGTCCTGCCTGTGTGACACAGGGCACTGCTGAGGCTTGAATATCACTGAGACATTCTGGGTGACATCTCTGGGTGTTCCCTATAAGCAGCCAGGAGCTGTGTGTGAGAGGCTGGGTCTGATCTGCAGACTCCGTATGGTTACAGACCTGCGTCAGCCCAGAGGAGATGGGCTGTGGATGGACAGGGCAAAGCTCAGATGAAATCAGGGTGCGTATGGTGAGGGTGTGGGTGAGGTCCTGCCACAAAGCTCTCAGCAGCTTGCTGCGTAGACTCTGCAAGGACTGATTTATCAGCTATTGTGTCCCTACAATTGTAGCGTGTCGGATCTGTGGAAGCAGAAGTTCCCCAGCCTCCCATGGGAGACATCCACGACATTTAATGCTCACTGGGACCCACCAGGGCATAGTGCAGAGCCCTGATGGTCCCATACGGCAGTGGGCTAAGAGCCATGGTCACACTGGGAACATAATACTTGGCAGTGGAAGAGGGACTTTGGGGTGCCTATCGTACAGAGGCCAGGCCAAATCCAAGGACTGGCTCCTGGCTAGTTCCAACCTCTTTGCATGCCTGCTCTTCTCCTCTATTAAGAGCTTAAGCCTAATTTCTCGTTTGAATTTGCCTACCATCCACTTCAAGCTGCTGCTTCTTGTGCCTTTTTGTGTGAGATTGAGGAGCCTGTTTACCAGAGAGCATTTTCTCCCTGTGAAAGTATTCACTCCCCCTAATCTACTCCCCTTGCCTCCTCCTTTCTGAAAAGCATTAGCTTATGATTTCTGAGCCTTGCCTCTAATGCACTTCCCTCCCTCCCCCTAATATTGTTTTGATACCTCTTTTCCACTCTGCCTTTGAATTTTCAGTGCTTCCTTAAACTCCAGATGCCAGAAAGCTGCATAGTATCCCAGGACTGGTCTCCTTGTCATGGCATGAAAAGTAAATGCCACATGCTTGCTGTAGATTGTATTTCTTTGCCAAATCCTCCTGCTGGGAGGTCGCATTTAGTCCTGGGACCATTGCAACCCCCATTTCAGGGCACAGTCCCTGTCTTACGCGTTTTGACATGCTAGACACACGACTTCGTACGTTCAGGCTGACTCTGTGAGAGTGCTGTGCTCTTTCGGTGATCCAGACTCATTTGCATGGCAGCCTCATCCTCTCAGGCAGTCACTCTCTGCTGAACTGCTGGTATCTGCACCACCTGCCAGTTTTGTCTGCATTGGCTTCCAGAGCACAGCTGAAAGCAACAAACCATTCGGGGAATGTTTTTGCTCCTCAGGCCACCTCGCTAGAGCCATTCCTGTTTAATGTTGGTTTCCCCTGACTGTTTACTGCTTGATATCTGTCAGGTAGGCAGTTCTTAATCTGTTTAGAGCTTTATTGATGCTATATAGTACAATTTTATTTTATTTTTTTAAACCAAATGTCATTTGAAACTAAGTCAAAAGCCCTCCAAAGATCTAAGCCTATTACTTCTGGACAGTTCCCTTTATCAACCAAATTTGTAATCTCATCACAGAGCAAAATCAGGTTTGTTTGACAAGCCCTATTTTCATAAAAACAGATTAATTGGCCTGGTTGCATTCCCATCTTTAATTTTTTAGTGAATGAGCCCTGTATGGAGATTTCTATAATTTTGTCCTGGATTGATGTTACCTATCCATTTCAGCCTGTTTGCCATTTCGCAACACTGACAAGACATTACCACCCTCCAAGGATGCTGGGTGAGCTGTGATGCTCTGAGATAATGAAAGAAATCATTTCTCAGAAACAAGACTCCCAACTGAGCTTAAGTGCAGGGAAACAAAGGTTCCTATCAGAGGCAGTCTGAAGGGCACAAGAGCTGGGGTAGGGTATCATCTGGGGTCCTCTACCTGCCACTCTTCCTCTGTGAGCTGGAGACGAGCTTTTAGTCCTATAATGTATGAACTGATATGCAGAAAGACAAACAGACACATCAGGAGACTTGCTTAGCTAGTCAGAGGAATCATGACCTGACCTGTTTCATGCTCACCAAAAATGGAGAGGAACTGAACTGAATTCAGCTCTTCTGTAGGAAGAGCAAATTCAGAGCAGTGGTTTTATAGCACTTGAGGGCTTTGGCCTGGGGTGAGGATGCTAGGCAGTTATTGCAATAAAAACAATTCATGGGGCCACTCTTCAGTTTATAGCTATGCTTAGTCTCCTAGAATGAGTAAACCAGCACAAAACATAATGAAGGCTCTGACTTTGCTCGGAACCATGGCATTAAATATAGCTTCTTGCCATCTTTACCCTTATTACCTGCCCAGAATAAAGCCAAACCCAACACATTAACAGTGACACCGAGAAGCCCGCCTTAACAAGACCCTGCTCTTCTAAGAGCTGTCAATAAAGATTACCTTTTGTAATGCCTCACAGGTAATCTGCTCCCTGCCTGCCTGCCGGGTGATATGACAGCAAAGGGAAGATCACAGCGTGCTAGAATGTAATACCGTGATCAATGCAGACTGCCTCTTCTGTCTGATGCCAGACAGCTTTGATGAGCACTATAGAGAGGTTTGGTAAGACTGCATACCCCTGTTTTATTGTGATGATTTCTTTAAATTCAGCAGTAGCCATGTCCTCTTTTTTTTTTCCAGCTTTCTCTCAAAAATCACTTGTTAGTCTGACCTATTCCGATGTCCTGTTTTGTCCGCTCATGATGCTCTTCTTTTGGATTAGTCTCTAGGCTACATAGAAAGGCACTGGGATAATGCCTCCCAGGGCTGCTCTGGCACTGCTTCAGCCTGGGCCATGCCTGAGCAGAGAAAAAGATAAAGATAGGTGTTGTGCTTGAATGTGGCAGCCCAGATGCTGATGCTGAGTGCAGCTGGTTCAGTGGAGCTGTTTCTCGCCCTCCTTACCATCACTGCTTGCAGTCTCCTGTGACCAGCTGTAATGCTGCAAGGCAGACAGGTATGTTCATCTTTCTAGCAGGGAAGGGCAAGAGATTCCATGGGAGAGGTGGAAATGCACTCAGGAGACTGACCAGTGATTGCTATCTCTTACAGAATAAATATTTTATTTTATTTTTCTCAAAAAGAGGTCGGCTTTTGCCCTTCTTATTTACTGGAATAGTCTTGTTTGTAATAACCCTTTCTCATTCCTAGCGGGCTGCCAACATTTGCAGATATTCAGCCTAGGGAAGGAGTAGGGCTCACAGCGGAGACATTGGAGAGCAACATCTTGCAGCCATGCTGCTGGGGCAGGTGTTGGTGCTGGAGTCAAATGCTTTTGATATTCAACATCACACATGGTTTAAGAAACCCATGCACAGGACTGGGTTTCTTCAGAGTTGGGCATCTTACTGTGGAAGTAGCAATTCTGAGCCATAAAACATTCATCTTGTTATTGGCAATTTCCATAAACCTCAAGGATCCGTGAGACTTGAATGCTGAGGTGTCCTCTTCTAAGAGGCCCAACCAGTTTCAGAGGTAGAAGCACATTAGATGGAAGGGGTCGGTCCTGTCTGAGGTGGCCTCAGAAACACCAGTTGGAGGGTTCATACCCTGCAGGTGCTTCTAACGTCTGAGGAGTGGTGGGTGACTAATCCTGCACCAGTTAGAGGCAGCTGGAAGTAGCGTGATGGAGGTCAGCACAGAGCCCTCCCCAGCTTGACCAGTTCAGCCAACAGGCAAAGTGACAAGGAATTGAGGAGCAGGGACACAGGGAAGGTGCTTGACTGCAGAGGACGCCCTGCCTGCAGGGTGAGACGTAACCTGACTGACTGATTGCTCTTCACCAATGATGAACATGGCCTAAATTACTGTCAGACAGATTATACTGATGATGTTGAGCCCAGTATTAATGACTCGTACCTCATAACTTGGGCAGCCACTGCAAACACCAGAGTCAGTGTTCAGCTAGAGGACAAGTGAGGGGAAAACACACCACCAAGCTGAAATTGGGGTGGCCACCCCCATGGCCACTTACCCAAGACTAATTTAGTAATTTAGGAAACAGAGCTTCAGGTGCATTATAATTCCTTGACTGACTTTTTCTTTTTTTTTTTCAACTCCATCCAAGTCATCTCTGCTGGTAAAAGCTTTATGCCTGTCTTTAGCCAGCCAAGTACCTGAAATCTGTCTATCACTACCACAGACGCAACTTTTCTGTTGATAGAGGCCTGCACCAGCCAAGTTGTTTTGTGCTGAAAACTACATCTATATAGATACTTAGGTGTCAACAGTATTTGTATTGTATCTACCGTCATGCGAGAGGAAATCTGGAGACTTTCCCTACTCGGGAACATCCCTTTGTATATGGGCTTCCTTCCCTGCATATATCTGACGCAGCCCTTTACATGCACAGTAGCTAATGTCTCCTTTCTTAAGTGTTTTGTCTGCTTAAGTGACTCTGACATAGGGTCTGTTCCTTGCTGTGTTCACATACAGCAGCTGTGCAACCACTGTGAAAGTCTGGAAGGACTTCAGCTAGTCTGTTTTATCTAACATATTGCCACTATCTCACCTGGTGCCTGAGCCAGCTGCATTTGGCCCCTGTCTTCTCACAGTGTTTATCGGCCAAACATCTTTTTCACATAGCTAGAATTGCTCACACAGGTCTCAATGGAGAGGGAAAATTGATATAAATTTCCTCTGAATGAGGCTTTGCTAATTTGCATTTTTCTCTTGGCATCACAAGGGCCTGGATTAACTAAAACAGCCACAGTGATGATTGTTCCCCTGGCAGCAGTGCTGAAAAAGTGGGTAGTCGCACTAGTCCTGGATTGATTTTGCATGGTCAGACCTTTGTGACCTTCCAGCAGTGTCATAGAAAGTTGAGGGGATATGAGTGTGCTCACAATTTATTTGATTGTTTTTAAAAGCAGAAGTGGTTTGACCAGAAGTTTTCACAATGTGTTTGTTTATGTGCTGCATATGAGTGGTAAACCAGAGAAGAAAAATGTTGGGGGAATCTTTTTAGTGCAGTCTATGCGACTTTGAATTATCTATTCCTTTTGAAATGAAGTCCTGTTGGAGAAGAGGTTTCAGATTCAAACTTACATATTTCTAAAAATATGTAAGTGCCTCCAAGCCCGGTCTGCAGTGCTGGGGTGTTAAATTCTTGTTTTCATCACTGTGTTGCCTGCAAAGATGGTCTCTACTTCACACATCATGCACTCACATCTTGGTGGACATCTGTGTCCACACTCCCCTCTCTACTCAACTGGTGTATGTTACCAGAGGCTTTGCAAATTCTCATGTGGTCTGAAGCTTTGCAACAAAACCATGGTGAACTGTATTACTTCAAGTGTCTAAACATTGAAGATTTATTTAATACTGAGAGCACCATTACTTAGCAGCTCCAAGGTCAGAGAAAGCTTGGTGGAAGTTTGGGAAATAGGTTATTTTGGCAGGCTTTTGAGAAGTATAACTTTTGGGCACAATGAAACACCACGTATATGACAGGGAAGAAGCAGATAAGGATGCAAAAACATCTATTTTTTTCTTTAAAGGAACTATGAAGGCAAATGTGACAGTTCCATTGCCAGATTGTGCTTATTTTGTTCAGCATTTGCTGTTTGCTAATCTTCACTTCAAGCTTTATCCTCAAAAACTTAATTTCCCTGTGTCTTTTTGTTTCCTTTAAGGAGCAAAACATGAAGACCAAACTTGCCTCCTCTTACTTGTTCGAAAAATAAGCTTTTGCAGCTATAAGTTTTGAAAAACTTAACTCATTAATACTTTCTACTGTTTTAAAATAAAATTGAATAACCTAACAAGAGAATCCCATTTGTAGCCTGAAGTTAAGTTAGAAAATTAAATGCCACTTTTTGGGGGCTAGGTTTTCAGGTAGTTTAAACTGCTCCCAGATAGTCAAAATTAGCAGGACCCAAAAATCTCTGTATCTGCATAAAACCATATAATGTTATTATGCTGAATTTCTAAACTAATTTTGTCATTTTTTTCATTAGTGAAAAAAATATTCTATACATGCATAAATGCATACATATATGCACAGAAAGAGATGATTTTGAGAGAATAAATTAATTTCTCTGTGGTTTTATTGTTGTCGCGCAAAACCTATGTATCCTAGGAGATAAGAAGATTGTCTCTCATGACTGGATTTTTACAAAATAGTGTTGGGATGAATAGCCATTATCTTAAAGAGTAAAAACACTTAGAAGAAGTGCATGGAAATAAAAATGAGCATTTCAAAGTCCTCTGCAAGCATGGGCTATTTTAACTCTGGAATTTGCAGCATTCAGCTACTTCACAGTCATTAGTTTATTTGTCCTTGAACAGCTCTGGGAATTAAGAGACAACTGCTTGGTGTGCTAGTGCACTGCAGAGCATGGAGAAACAAAACACAAATTTCAGACGTATGTAAATACTCAACTCCCAATCTACCTGTTCTTATAAGATCAGGGACCTATTTTGCCATGTGCCTTGTACAAGAGAGGGCTGACATCCCCTGGTAATCCACTTTTGAAGGCATTGGGGTCTATCAGTGATGGCCTCATTTAAGGTACTGCTTCTTGAGCACAGGAGCAAGACATTCCAACGTGTCAGAAGTCAAAGAAGTGGGACAGAAGTCTGGCTTGGCTGAGCAGGGATCTTTCTCTACAGCTTAGGTGGAAAAAAATAAGTGTATGGTCACTGGAAGCGAGGTTGGACAACATAGGAGGACTGCAGAGATGCTATTTTCAATTGTAGGGATAAAATTTGTGTCCCCAAAGATCAATTAGAGTTGAAGCTGGCTAGCACTGCAGGGGACAACAAAATAGGCTTTTAAAAATATGTTTAAATATAGCAGAAAAAGTAGGAGCAGAGAGAGCATGATAAGAATGATCACCTCACAAACAGGGACATAGACAAAGAAGAGATGTTTAATGCCTTCTTCACCTCTGTCTTCAACATCAGTGATGGGCCCTAGGACCCCTGGAGCCCTGAGTTGGAGGGCCATGACTGCAGAAATGATAAATTCCCAGTCAACTTTGAACTTGTGCAGGATTAGCTGCTCTAGCTGGATGCATACAAGTCTATAGGGCCTGACAGGTTTAATCCCATGGTACTGGCTGATGTCATTGTGAGACCTCTTTCAATTATTTTTCAATGGTCTTGGGAATCTGGAGAGCTCCCAGTCAGCTGGAAGCAGGAAAATGCTGTCCTGGTTTTCAAAAAAAGCAAGAAAGAAGACCCTGGTAATTACAGGTCTGTTAGTCTCATTTCAATGCCTGGTAAAATTTTGAAGATTATTCTGGGAGTTATCGAAAAACACCTGAAAGACAATGCAGTCATTGGTCACAGTCAGCATGGGTTCAGGAGGGAAAAGTCCTGCTTAACTAATTTAATTTTTTTTTATGACAAGGTCACCCATCTAGTTGACCAAGGGAAGTCAGTAATCTTTTTGTTTTTCACAAAATCTTTTGATACTGTTTCTCACAGTAGTCTTCTGAACAAAATGTCCAGCATACAGGTAGACAAATATGTAATGAAATGTGTGAACAATGTGCTGATGGGTTGGGCTCAAAGTGTTACAGTAAATGGGGTTATATCGGGCTGGTGGCCAGTCACTAGTGGGGTTCCCCAAGGCTCCATTTTAGGGCCAGTTCTTTTTCATGCTTTCATAAATTACTTGGATGTAGGACTTGTAGATAAGTTTGCAGACAACAGTAAATTGGGAGGAGCTGTTGACTCTGTTGAGGGTAAAGAGGCCTTGCAGAGAGATCTTGATAGCTGGGCAATCACCAACCACATGAAGATTAACAGGAACAAGTGCCAGATTCTGCACCTGGGATGGCACAATCCTGGCTATATGTACAGACTGGGGGGTGAGAGCCAGGAGAGCAGCTCTGTGCAAAGGGGTCTGGGGGTTCTGGTTGATGGCAAGTTGAGTATGAGTCAACAGTGTGCCCCGGAAGCCAAAAGGGCCAATCATGCCCTGGGATGCACCAAGCATGGCATTGCTAGCTGGTCAAGGGAAGTTTTTGTCCTGCTCTGCTCTGCGCTGGGGAGGCCTACCCTTGAGTACTGTGTGCAGTTTTTGGTGCCACACCATAACGACTTAAAACTATTAGGGAGTTTCCGAAGAAGGGCTATGAAGATGGTGAAGGGTCTAGAGAGCAAGATGTATGAGGAGCAGCTGAGGTCCCTGGGTTTGTTCAGCCCCGAGCAGAGCAGGCTGAGGGGAGGCCTGATGGCGGCCTGCAGCTCCCTCACGAGGGGAGTGGAGGGGCAGGCGCTGAGCTCTGCTCTCTGGGGACAGCGACAGGACCCGAGGGGACGGCATGGAGCTGGGACAGGGGAGGGTCAGGCTGGGTGTTAGGAAAAGGTTCTGCACTCAGAGGGTGGTCAGGCTCCCCAGGAAAGTGGTCATGGCACTGAGCCTGCTAGAGCTCAACAACATTTGGACAGTGCTCTCAGACATGGTGTTTGATTTTTGGGTGATCCTATGTTGAGCCAGGGGTTGGACTTGATCCTTGCGTGTCCCTTATTCAGGATATCCTATGGTTCTATGATACTCACATGGAGCAAAATATTTCTTGGCTGGCACTTGTATCCCACAAGGATCATGGTTCAAGTGTTTGGCTGTCAGAGCTCCGTACTGGTGCATTCAAAGCTCTCTTGCTGATGCAACAGTGGAGGAAACCAACAGACACAAAGGAATAAAGAAAAAAATTGAATTCTGAAGAAACAAACAAGTTATAGAAAGAAGTAGAAGATGATGATGTTTCAGGTCCTGCTTGTGTTTGAGCTTTTGAAATTCATAAGGACTCAACTGACACTCTACAAACAAAAGTACATTTCCCTTCACTCAATTTTTAAATTCTCCTGAGGTAAAAAATGTTGCAAACAGACAGTTCTTGGTATTAGCTCTATTGTACATGGTGAATGCATATAGCACTCCCACGCTTGTGCAGAAAAATTGAATAGTCAAAGCAGAATCTAGTTATACATTCCAGATATATCTACTGCTCAGTTCAATATATTCATTACCTGGTATTGTTCCATCGCTGCTTTCATCAATATACATGAACAGAGCAATATACAATAAAGGTAGATTGGTATTCATATGGTTATGTAGATTTGATAACTCCCTAAGTAAACTGTCAGTGGAAGTTGTGTGGAAGGGATGAGTTTCCACATTTCTCAGCAGATGGGGTCCGAGTATTGTGAAGGCTGGCCCTGTTCTTAGGAGAAACTGGAAACCTGCTTTAGCTGTTACTCTTACTCATGGGTTTGGGTCTAAAAAGGGAAGTTAGAAATGGAGATGATGAATTGCCTTGTTCATTGAACTGTGGATGATAGCTATTCAGGCAACCTGTCCCACATGTGGGTTTCAATACAAACCTAGGAAGGGCAGTGCTTGCTGCTGGCCACACAGCTCATCTAGCCACAAACATTTTGTGTAGTTTTGGATGTGAGTTGAGACTAGAAAGAAGTCCTGAGTCTTGGGGGACATCGAGGCTGGTGGCATCCTGGAGAAAAAACAATTACCATGAGCGATTTGGTGCCTATACAGAACTGTGCCTGTGTCCTGTCTGGAGTTTGGTCATCAAAAAATTTTGCAAAAATCTATGTACTGAAGGGGCACTAAAATAGCTTGCTGGTGAATCACAAAGGAGGAACTCCAGGAGAAGATTGCTGCTCCTAACTGGTTTTGGTTGAAAGGTGTATGTGGGGGTTGTGGGCTGACTGGTGTTCCATGTTTTAAAGGTGATGATATGGCCACAGCACCACTTTGATGGCATGGCAGAGGGCCACGTGGTAAATGTCGATAGACAGTAAGTAGGGTTGAGACTGATAATCTGCTGGATATATTTTTTGGCCTTTCACAGGCCTAGAGCAGCAACAACAAGCCAAGAGCAATTGGGAAGAATTTCTCTGAGTTTCATAGGTTCACAGAATGAAGTAGGTGGGATGGGATGCGATATATTCCTTTTTTAAGACAGGGACAATTTCAACATTAGGTCATGTTGTTCAAATGAGGCCTTTGCTGGCCTCTCTCCAGTGTCTATTTCTGTTGTGTACTAGGGACCCCCAAACAGCGTTCCAGATGAGGCTGGAGAAGTGGTATTATCTTTCAACTTCAGCCACACCACAGCCCTTTTGCACCAGCACATCTTGACATACACCCACATCTTTGCCTTGCAAGCGGTTAGAGATGGATGCAGATGGTCTATCCTGCTGTTTCTCCAGCTTAGGTATTGTCCTGACTGTTTTATAGCAGATATTTCTGAATGAAAAGGTGCATGCAGAGCTCACAATGGGAAGAACAACAAAGACATCTCCCAGACAAAGTCTAGCATTTCAATTTCTTCCACCCCAGCTGTGGGTTGCCTGTGCTGATCCTTGCTGGAGCTGTACTATATAATAATATGTTTTTTTTTTTTTTTTTTTTTTTTTTTTTGTATTTTGTAGTGGGGAAAGAAAGGAAAGCAAAATGGTAACTTCACAGGGCTTTGAGTGATGAATGAGGGGGAAGCAGGTAAAGATCCATTTGACATTTGGGCAGTCATCCAAAATGTTTAGATTACCCACCGACCTCTATTCATTAAGAAAATAGCTCCAGCTAAATAAAGCTACTGATCAGCATGCAGAGAGCCAGACTCAGGGCAGGGGAGACAGCATAAGAACTGATGGATAGGAATGGTGCTGGCGTGAGACACGGACCTCTGCACTGAGAATGGGCAACACTTTCTTCTCCTTCTTCCCCTGTTCTTGCTGCTGCCTCAAAGCATCTTTGTCAAGGTCAAAAGATGACAAAGCTGGAATGACACCTGCAAGACAGCTTCAGAGACCCTCTACAAGCAGAGAGGAGGCAGGGGAACAGAAGCACACTCCAAGCTCTCCTCCAGGATTTACTATCGGAAACATCTCGTTACACTTGTCTCACTTCTGCTTCAGCTTTTGTTTTAAAGGACTGATGCCTAGAACTTCACTGGGCTCCTGCAGAAACTAGCTTGCTGAGGGCTGAGGCAAATTGGAGCCACTTCTGCTAGGCAACCTGTAACCAGAGGCATATCCTGGACATGTTGGCACTACTCGTGTGTAGTCTGCCTGTCTGACAGCTCTTGCCTACATGTGCAGGAATGCTGCTGCATCCCTGATTTTTGATGGTTCTGCTTTAGGAACCAACATTAGATGGTTTAATGGAGCAGGGATATCTACAGCCCTGATTTACCACTGAGGTAATGAAACAAGTGCCAGCCCCAGGGTTTCATGGGAGGTGGTAGCAAAGCTAAAGATAAACCTGCATCTCCTAGTATTTCTCATATAATCTACAAGTGATCTCTGAATGGGGCCCTCAAAACATGAGCTCATCCTTTCACCTTTGGCTAAGGACAAAGGCAATTGTGTTTTTGGGACAGAAGGGTTGGCAGCACAGAGGAATACGATCTTGATGAGTAATGATAGCTCTTCTTTTGCTGGGGTGTGAGCTGTGATAAACACCTGGAAACCCTGAGATGGTTTATTCTGGAGGGTGGAGTAATCCTACAGACTTGACAAGGGATATCCCTGACCCTGAGTTTTGGTGGCAGTGTGTGTTAGCACATGCCAAATTCACGTCAAACTTGTGCAAAACCTTGTTGTGTAGCTTTGAACTACAACGTTTTGCAATTCCAGCATTGTGTATTTCAGTTTGCAATGTTGAAATAGGATGTGCTAGGCAATGGAAGAGATCTATGTTCCCTGATATAATTTGGTGCATTGGATACCATCCAGGATGTTGAAAGGATCAAATGCCTTGTGGAGTTTAATGGAATGGAACAGAAAAGTAAACAGATAATCACGCAGAACAGAAAAACAGAAGAGAAAAAGCTGCTGTTCCAAAAGCTTAACAGAAGTCTGAGCCTGAAGCAGAACTGGGGTATCACAGAGTGTGAACAGGCCAACTTCCCACCAGCGAGTGGAAAGTCCGCTGTCCTTCCTAAAGAAGGGTTTTCGGCACACACCTCTGCTCTTAGATGAGTATTTGAATTTTTCCTGACATTGTTCCCTTTTCAGACAGCTTCAGAATAGGTTCTCCAGGAAGGGTCTCCCCACTTTTTTTTTTTTTTTAGTCCTAAAATGGAAGAGTCAAGGCTTCTGTGTGTGTTTGGGCAGGCATGGACACATTTTTACAAAGCTTTCAAATACTCTGAAAGATAGCAAAACAAGCTGCCTTTTTTTGAAAACTGACAAGAAAGAGTAGGAGCTCATACAGTCAACTGCATGGCACTATTTCTACAGCATACTGTGCAATATGTTGTGGATCACATGTAAAACTGGGTATGTTTCAGGAAAGACGTAGAGATGGGAGGAACGGGATGGCTGCCTCATTCTGGATTCACATCTCGTCATCACACTTTCTGTCTTTATTTTCTCCTATATCTAGTCTCCTCACTACACCCTGGAGTGCCATTCGTAGTCTCAGCCTCCACGACTGCTGCAGTGTGTTATAGTCCTTCCAGCCAGGAATTCGGCCTGCTACAACTCGGAGAAAATCATCAGCAGACAGCGTGGCTGCAGCTGGTGTGGTGGAAGGGGTCGGGTGGCAGCAGAGGATCTGGCTGAGCGCTGAGCTGCAGTTGCAGCTTGTGGTCTGCAGTGAGCTATGGAGATGTGAAGCAATCGCATTGCAGAAAGCAAGAGAGATGCCAGCTCCACAATCCAAGCATTGACAAGGAAAAACTACATCACTCACTGGGTTAGATGATTTTATAGCATCACAAGGCAATCAGAGAGGTGGGTCTCTGGCAAGCAGTGCTTCTTAGGTAGGTTTGGTGCATGCCACATATCTTCTGTTTGCAGTTTGTTTGCTTTTTCTTTGGCTTGCCAATATATCAGTGGCTTTCAGTAGTTCTGCAGGAGCATTTGCACAGTTCTGCAGGAAATCTGTAGGTATTTACATTTCCTTCATAGCAAAACAAACCAGAGATCTGTCTTGCTCTGAAGAAGATGAGAGCGTTATTTTCTTTCTCTCCATAAATTCTGACAAGAACAAGGAGGACAGATCTGCAGTGCTAACACAGCAACAGTGAAACCTTCTGTATTTTTCATTACAACGCTTGTCAGAGGAACTGGATTCATGCAGTGCCACTTTCTAGTCATTACATTCTTTGTCACAAGAATAAGTTTTTAATCCGTCATGTGCCCTGCTGGGGCATGGTGGAGTGGCTGAGGACTCGTACTTGCTGTGGTCTGTAATTTGCCTGGCCATGGACCACCTCCAGGTGCTTCCCCGTGTGGAGAGAGGAGCCAGAAAGAGCTGTCGAGGGCAGCGTCCAACATGTGGCAATGGAGGTGAGGGAGGTTTTGAGCCTAAATCGGAGCCAGGAAGACATGAGCAGGGAATAAGCTGTTCGTGCTCTCTTCCACGAATGGCTCCCAGAATGTTATTTGAGATACTAACGCCACATGTGGCTCCTAAATGTTGACAGCTGGAAGAGAACGGCCAGTGCCCGTTTCTCTGCTGGGCGTGCATTTAGAAAGCCCATGTTCACTTATGAATTTGGCTGCAGGTTCCTCTTCTCATCCTGGTCAGGTGTCTTAGCCTTCCCATCTGCTCTTCTTGTTCCCTACCTGCACAAACCAGAAAGGAAACCAATGCAGTGCTGGGCTCAGTAAGGGGTGATATAGCTGGGGAAACTGGGCAAAACTTTTCTTGTTGCTCATGTCACGGAGGATATGTTTTTAGTTACATTAAAGGCTTTTGTGACAACATGATTTATTTTATGGTATTTTTTAATTTTGAGGAAAATTGATAAAGGCATCCAAAACCGTACTAGGTTTGACGGCATTACAATAAACAAAAAATAAGTTTGGGGGCAGTTGGAAGCCAGTTTTAATTTCAAAGTCTTGTTTCACTGTAAGACATCCCAGAACAGCCACAAAATTACAGGCTCAGAACTGAAACCTAATATTTCAACTGACATGACTTTTTTTTCTCTCTCTTTTATTTTTTATCCACTGCTAACCAAGGAGAGAAAAGAAGAATTTCTTTCAAAATAAAGCATCTATTTTCCTCGGCACTTCTTTTTACCAATGAGCTGAATGTTGCTTTTCCGTTTAGTGCTGTCACTGTAGTAATAGTAGTGATAGAGACATCGTATAATAGGACAGGTAGAAGAAGACCATGGAGATAATCAGCATGCAGACACCAAAGGAAAAAAAAAATAATAATGAGAATTGGAGTTTTCTGGAGAGGGAGAAGCCGCTATCCAAACTAGGTCAGCCTGTGTCCTCAGCTCCTGTGCAAGAGATGAATCACGCACTTGGACTCCAAAGCAAGCCATCCCATAGAAAAATGTTTGTTTAACTCTGAATTGCCAAAGGGCATTTAACTGAGATTCAGCCTTTGCCAGCTAGAAGGAAACATGCCCTTCAAGCACGTGATGCTTGCTGCTCCCCTCTCTGTGGGCTCAGCCCCACATAATGGCACGGAGCCCCTGGAAGCGTGGCAAGGGAATGCAGGTGGTGAAGGTTTTCCAATCTGACTCTGGCTGTGCAACACCTTCCCAGGGAGGAAGGGACATGGCTTATGGTTATTCTATAAGCAAGAAGGGGAGGTAAGGGCTGCCTGCTGAGGCCCAAACTGCAGGCAGAGAGGAACCTGAGGGGAGGATGTAGGGGCAAGATCCCATCCTGCAGCACGGGAGTCTCGGTGCTTTTCCATGAACATAGCTGGTGATGAATATTGCCTCTCTCTGTTCTGGGAATAGGAAAGCCAACCACGCCATCTGGACTATTATGACACTGTGCATAGCTGTTTCCAAGCAAATGCCGTTAAGCCAGACTACTTGCTCAGGCCTTCTCCCAGTAGTTTTGCTACCACCTGCTGTAGTTTTCTTTTATCCCACTGCTGAAAGCACACTTGTAGCGTGAATTGGCTGACATGAAGAAGCAATTCGGGTATCTAAACACATCTTTCAGTGTTTTCTATAAGAACCTGTGGCATTGGCTGGGGTAAAGGAATATGATAAGGGACTTCCATAAGAACTCCAGCCTCTGGATTGGCACCGGGACGATGGGAGGTCAAAGCTCCCTGATAAGGGATGTACGGGGCCTGATGCATTGGGCCCACGGTCACCTTCCCTTATCACACAGAGGAACTCATGGTCTAGAAAATGGATGTTCTTGAGAGTTTCTGGGAAATCCATGGAGAAGAGCTTGCTTCTCCTTTCTCTCCCAGGATCATTCTCAGCTCTTGGTGCCCTTTCTAAGGACAGCCCCACAAAGGGAGTAAAGCAGAAATGCAGGAAAGAACAACCAGCATCCTAAACAGTCAGCATTGCAGGAAAGCTGGGACTCAGGAGATTCTCCCAGTGTCTACAATCCCAGCCTAACCCACTGTTTGTGATTTACTGCCTAGAACAGTGGCTTTATGCCCCTTTTCCCAGAAGTGTTACATTTCTTTTAAAACATTAACCACCAGAACCACACTGTTTCTTGCTGATGTACAAAATGTCCAAATGCCATTCATGTGCTCTGCTCTAATTCATTTTAATTTTATTTCTCTGGGCTCATTACAAGAGGGTGGCTCTCGATTCTGCTAGTGCCACTTTCCTTTGAATCAGCAACAGCCATTGATGAAAATGATCCAGATATAGCTGGTTTCTTCTTAGGACCTGAACACACAGGTGTGTAGCACAAGCACCACACTACTGCAAAATGCCCTGCACTTTCTTTGTGCTGCTCAGTGACAAGGTGATCTCCCCACTCCCATGAACACAATCTTAATTGGCCCAGGTTAATAGTAAATGTTTAACATGAAAAGTCAAATCAGGTATTTAGCCAAATTACAAATAACAAGTATTTATTTATTTATTTATTTATGGCATGTCAATAGAATTATTTTCTCTTTATTTTAATGTAATTTTCTAAATGGCTCTTTTTTTTTTTTTTTCTCCTTTTATTTATTCTTCTCTCTCTCTCTCTCTCTTTTTTTTTTTTTCTTAAAATGTCATCTTTTTTTAAATCTCTTACTGGCTTCTACTTTAATCAAGTCATTTATCTGTTTGAAGAGTTAAACTAGAAAATTGACATTGAAAGCCAAGTTCAAATCCTTTTTCTGGCATCAGGATGGCCTTGCATGCAAGCTTGTTCCTGACTGTTTTGGCTGCTTTGTGTGGGAAGGCCATGGGTAAGAGCAGGCACTCCTCCAGCTGTGTATGTTAAGGTTAAAGCCTTACTACCCAAGTGTGCTGCTCCATGGGCAGGAGTGCGCCTAATTTCAACGCACATTTAATTTCCATGTGGCTCTCAGCAGGATATGAGTACTGGTGTTTTCCTCCTTCTTTCAGTCAAAACTGCAAAATTTCGGTGGGACCTGCCTTAATTCTAGCTTCTTGGGGGTTGAAAGCTGTTACAGCATTTGCCAGAGACATTCCCACAGCTTAGCTGATGGCCCCCAGGAGACGTTTTCTTCAGTCAAGATGGTCACTCCCAGAGGAAACAGCTTGTTTTATTGACCAGCACTGTATGGGAAGAACTTGCTTAGGGCAAGGCTGGCTTCTGGGATCTCAAATGCATGAGCACGGGCAGGGAACAGAGATATGTGTGTAGACTCATATCAAAAAGGCAAACCTGTTCCTGGCCTCATTCTCTGGGGAGCTGTGAAATAAAGCAATGAGTTAGTAAAGATGAAGGGCAGTTTAGATTAGCTTGGCGTGATCTGCAACAGAAGCTATTGAGTCTCCTTCTGGACCAATATAAAATGGACCAGGCCATCAGGTCAACTTTTATGACATGGGTCATCTTCACACTCTCTGACACTCTCCAAACTAGGTGGGGTGGTTAAAAGTCTTACGTGCCTTGACTCTACATGATGTAAAAACTTGTGTAAGGAAGTGGCTAGGAGTTTAATGGGACAGCTGATGTAGGCAGGAACAGGCATGCAGACACAACATTTGCCACAAGTCCAGTAGAGCAGGTTGCTCAGATGCAGGTGGCTGTGCCTTTGTATGCTGCTGGGCCGCTGGAGAGGATTGGAAGCATGGCAAGTTGACCTTGGCTGTCTGTGAGGTGCCCACCAACAAGCTCTCTCTCTCCCTCTCCTCAGCAAGACAGGGAGAGAAAGTAAGACAGAAAAGCTCAGGGGTCAAGTTAAGGAAGGGGAGAAAGAAACACTAATATTTTGCATTTGGGTAGATCTGGGAAGAAAACCTAATCTGCCTTCTGAGATGAGCCTGTAAAATACAGTCAAAGACCATCAAAACACATCTTGCAAGTCCACTATATGCTTAGTTTATGTGGAGATCACTCTGTGGAGGGAGCAACATCTGTGTCTTTCCAAGCCACACGTGCATCACACACATAGTGAAAACTTTTTTTTTTTCTTAATTATTATTTATTTATTTATTATTTTATAAAAAAGACAACACCAGGACAACCTGTGTTACCCCAAGGCTCACAGTCTTCTATGCAGTGTGTGTCCATGGTGTAACTTGTTATCTTAGGTAGTTCTTGCAATTCTGCTCCCTTCTCTGGAAATGGCTTGGAAAGGAGATAAAACTACAGACAAGCTTGTACACAAGAACAAGATAACTAGCCTAGACCTCTTCAGCTAGGAAAAAAATGTCTGAGGAAAGACAATGCAGAGATATGAAGAATGATGAATGGCAAGGCGAGGGCGTACAGGAGAAACCTTGCATTTTTACTTCCAGTAAAATGCTTCCAGCCATTGTCTAGGGCAGAGTGAACACAAAGAGGTGGTTCTTCAACACAGTTAAGTCTACATGGTGTACAACCATGGATTTTATTGATAAAAACCTTTCCAGAAGGTATTCTTAAAGGTAACCACACCTGGGAACTGTGAGCCCCATTCTTCCACCTGGTTTGGGAGCAGTGCCCGTGCTTCACCATGCTGCAGCCTGGAGCAACAACTTTGTTCTCCTCCAAGCTTGGCAGCTCAGACAACTGAAAACAGAAAACGGGCTCATATTAAAACGTGAACATTTTAATTTATGCATCTGATTGGTATTATGCTGTAATTAAATTATATTCCCATGGTGCGTATAACATCAGGGTTGTAGTAATACAAATAATTAGTAATTAACTCTAATCAGATCAGTTAGCAAATGGCAGATTCCAGATGAATAAGCTGTCCAAGGGTGTGTGTGGGGAAAGACAAGGAAGAATGAAGAAAAGCTAATTTGTGCTGATGAATAAAGGAAGAAATGATAATAACAGGAAATTCATTTTCAAGAGAACCCCTTCTGCCAAAGAAAACAAGAATACAATCCTAAAAGACCCCTCTAGGCAACTGTCATCATCCTACAGCTCAGCTCCCACAAGATGCTCCACTTTGACCTGTAACATCCTGCCTTGAGTCCCTCCCAAATGCTCATCCTTCTTCTTATCATGCTGCAGTGCTGAAGTGAATGAAGTGACTGTACAACAGCATGCACAGAACCATGCTTTCCACCAAAGGGACCTCCCTTAGCTGCCTCCCTGCTAACAGCTCCCTTGATGATAAAGTGATGATAGCACTTTAAGTGTCCTCCTCAGCACACCAGCTGCACCTTGGCATGGGAATTTGGGAACGGGTTCCTAACCAAGCTCTCCCAATAAGATCCAGGTAGCTGTGATGCTGTAGAAGCAACTTCAAGCCACAGAAATGGATGAGATAGGATGGTGCATGAATATGTGGTGGGAAGAGCAGTCTGAAAATATATGTGGATGTGCAACTCAAGAGTGATTAAAGCACAGGTCATATGAAAGGAAAGTAAGCATCTCGATGGTGCTACAGACACACAGAGCCCAACCTGAGCACACAGAGTACCTCTCTCAAGGCTGCTTCTCTAGCCAGCAGAGAAACACAGCCCTCCAGCAAGTAATTCAGAGAATTAATCTCTTGCTCTGAATTGCCCTCAGGAGGCCCTGATTTCTCTCCATTAACTACTGCAGGAGTCAGCAGAGACAGGCTCTCCTAGGCTGAGGCTTGCTGCCAGGAATCCCTTTCCCTGAATGAGTCCGAGAGGAGTTAAATGTACTGTTGCAGTACAGACCCCAGAGATACAGGCATGATCTTCATCTCAGCTCTAAGGATGCTGAACCAGCTCATGAATATCTCATAACTTAGCAAACTGTTGCAAGCAGTTTGGAGTTCAGGGGCAGGTGAGATCCTGAAGCTAGGGCAAAGGCTGCTGTCTGTTGACCCTGAAGAGCTGGATCAGCTGAGGGTGTCCTGCCTAACCTTCAGAAGAAGATTGATTTTGGGACTTGGTGGGAATGAAGGGGCTTGGGCAGCATGGGCTGTGCAGAGGCAGCACATCTTATTCTTCCAAGAAGAATTTCTCTACAAACCAACGAAGTACAAGAGATCTGGAAATTGGACTTCCTATGTGATAAGTAACACCACAATCTGAACATGTGTTTTGGGCTTTAAACAGAGCAAAATATTGCATTTTGGCAGTTGCCTAAAAAAAAATAAATAAACAAAATGTTTTTAACAATTTCAGTTTGGGTCTGTCAAACAAGGTTTCAATTAAAGAAAATTCAAGATGTGCTCTTGCCAGCTGGACTGCAGTTTGATCAGTATCAAATATTTTTGGAGACAAATAATTTCAAAATAAAATAGTCTGTGTTACATTTCAAAAAGGTCAGCGTGAAATATTCTGCCATTGTACAAGGGTTTTGCTTTTTATTTTCTCAATTATAAAATGTCCTTGAAAATGACATCTTCCTGCAGCCAGGCTTTCCTTTTGATTGAATGGCATTTTCTGGTGGAGAATGTTCTAAGCAAACATAAAAATGATTAGAAAATGCGACCAGCTCTAATTGCTGGTGTGTGCCAAGAGTACACTGACAGGTCTTTTCTCAGAGGGAAGGAGGAAAAATGAGGTTGCCTGTTTTGTTTTTTCTTTCTTTAGTGGTTCAAGTCACTAGCTGCTCAAGAGTTACTGGTATGAGTTCGCAGACAAGGCTCCAGAGATGGTCAAATGAACCAGTCAGCAATATGAAATAATAAAAGAGGGTGAGAACAGGTTGTAGTGGGTAGATTCATACCCATGCTTTAGAGACCTCTGCAAGAACCTTCTTGAGACTCAGTTGCTTGCTGTGACCATCCAGCAGTATTTTTGCATGCATGCTACTTCCTTTATGTCTGTGGAGCTGTTGCATCTGTGTCCTTTCTGGTCTCCAGCATGGTTCGCTTCCTTGGATAGGTTGTTACTCTGTCATGGCTGTAAGCTGCTTGTAACCAAAGCACTTTTAGTAACAGTGAAAACTGTTGCTTCATGAATTTGTTTTTGAAAGAAAATCCATATTACTTAGCCTGCATATTGGATCATTTAAGCATTTATTTATTTGTGATTAGTCTTGCCTCTTCAGTGTGTCTCAAATTAGTAAAAAATAACAAATATGTCAAGACTTGTAGGTATTCTTCAAATATAATGGATAAAACAGTTCTAGTACAGAATGCAGAAAAGCAGCCCCAGTTCTGAATGTGAGTCAATCAGGCTACCCCAGGTGCTCAAATTGTCTCAAGCAGAATACGAAGTTCTGTGCTGCACAAGAGAAGTGGGAGCTTGATTTGCAGTGACCAGACTGCCTGAAGAACTGTCCTGTCTTGGTAAAGCAAAGCTGTGAGCAAAGCCACACAGCCAGCAGAGCATCCTTTGTGCTGCACTGCTACAGGAAACAGAGCAGGAGGCTGAAAAGGCTGGGCTGGTTTAGACAAGAGAATTAACACTATTCTTGTCATCCTCTCTGTCTGATGCCTCTTGTCCTAAGTTTGAAGTTGTCAGGTGCCCAGGACTACCTACCTGGAATGCATCTTGCCCTGAAGAAGCCAGGCACGTAATGAGGTGTCCTCAGTACTC